GTATACATTTAGTTTCTGAAAGGTTAATTCGTTTCAGATAGCAAATTTTGCATTTAATCGTTGATTTATCATTCTAGCAAAAAGGGAAATTTCAAATGATCTTTCGGCTATGCATGCGTAAGCTTGTTGTGCAGGCAGATTATTGGTCACACAATCTTTGGTCGGTCAAGCAGTTCATAAAAGATGTTGATCACAGTCAGACATTTACGGTTTTAAAAATTTCAAATTAGTCGATGAAGATTGCTGTGAACATCCTCAGGAGGAAAACAGAAAAACTACTTGGAAAACATTAAATGAAATAATCCTTCGACAGCCGCCTCATCGAGAAATCAAATTGACAAATTACAACCGGAACCGCTTTCGAAGACGTCAGCAAGAGAACTGGATGGTCGTGGATCTCCAAGCTGCTCGCAGGTCATCTCTGTGCAATTTATTATTGTTCAATGTGCTGCCTAAACCCTCGATTCGCCGCTTTCGATCATCCGGGACATAGTTCCCATTCTGACTCGAATGCCAACGCTTGAGGCAATAAATCCAGCCAATCAATGGCACCAAAACTGCGAGCACGTGTCTTCTGGGTTCGGGTCGCGTGCAGGCGAACAAAATCAAGAAGACCTGGAGGTACGGGATCAGGACGACGAGCGGCAGCCACGGAAACCCCGACAGTGTAGAGTAATGGTATCCCAGTAAGCCTTGACTGGACATATTCGACACTTTCTCACTGGATCTTGACGACAGCTTGTCTTTCATCACTCGGTTCTGGGATTTGTAGTTGGTGAGTCGCACGGCAGCCGTCATATAATCAGGCGTTTCCAGCCACGAGTACAACACGAAAAACGTCGCACCTAAGTAGATGAAGAGGAGTGTCCAAGCCACACGTTGGCAGAAGTTCATTGTGGTACAAAGGAGCAAATCTATACGAAGAAACACAAGATTCTTCCATATACATAACTCAGGAGTAGAAAAACCTTGACCCGAACTGCTAACGGGATAAGCGAGGACTGACACTCAGGAAATGGAAAGTCACACTCCAATTTTTAAGGAACGACCGAAAACCTTGACGACCCGTCATCAAAATTTGAAAACGACATAATAGAAAAGATGGAAACACGTAACTGTTCCTAGATTCCCACAAATTTACACACACATATTCCTCGGATAATTTAATGCTGTATCACGGATTGTCAAACATAGGGAAAATGTCCATCGACCGCAAAAAATTTCAGCAATCCAGCAGTGGAAATTTTCAAAACTATTAAAGGCTTTCCATGCAACATTCTTTATACTGATGTACCAGAATGATATTATGAACTGGGTAAAATTTAAATTTCGCATGCAGATCACTCTCTTTCAGTTATTTGAAAATGATTCATGAAAGCTCAGAAAATCTGGTTCTATACTGTATCTATCTATCCATCCGAATGAAAATACAGGTAGGCTCTTTTTTTTTACAATTTTTTCTGCATAACGGATTTCTTTGTGGTCCCATAGCGTTCTCCATCCTTGTTCTAGGGGTTCTCCACCTGAAAATTCTCTCAATGACCAATTTAATTTTCTGGTCTTTTAATATTATTTCAGAGGGAGTAACTGTATACACGAAAGTTTGCACTTATTTGAATTAAAGATCGCAACACTTCTCCGGGGTTCCCGAAAAACATTTCTTCGGGTATGTATAAAATGATATTGAAATTGGTGTATTTCATCAACAATTGCCTTTCAGAAGGGTGAAATAGATTCCCCGAAACCGTTTCATCGAAAATAAGAACGTTTTCTGCTGAAAAATAGTCGAATTCCGTCCGCGGGAACGGGCTTCGAATCCACCCAACGCTGCAGGCGGACTGTGACAACTGCTGTTGGAGGGAACGTGGTTATACCGGTATGCTTACACAACTATAATGGTTCGGTGGTGGAGAGAAGAAGGGCCGGACTTCGAAGCCCCTCTCGCACAACCCGGGATTTTGATTTCTTGGGAACGTCCTTCTGGAACCAGAAGTTTTTCTCAAGCATGCAGGAATTTTTCTTCATCAAGATTGGACCTATAATAGTGCCCCATACACGAAGTTACGGCAGGAAATTGTCTGTACAGAAACTTGTTCTTTATAGGGATTAGGAAACACAAACATTTCCGTGGAATGGATTGTCCTGGTCAACGAAGGCCCCGCATTACTGCATTTCATTTGTACTGCATATAGGTTGCACTGTATGTACTGGAAGTTAATCCACAAAGTTTAATTTCAGGGTAGGAAACCAAACCGTACGCTAATTTTTAAACCAAATTTAAAACCCATGCGGCAAAAGCTGCTGCCGCGCCAGCTTGAATGTCTTTGATTCCATTATCTTTTGAATTATTTTTCTGCTTGTATATTCTTCAGCTGAGTTGGAAAAAACACGCAACTACAATACTGTACTTTAAAATATAAAAAATGAATGAAGTGTACGATGCATTCATCATAACATACATCATACATACATGTATACAGTACAGTACATCACTTCATCTCAATTGAAGCATACTTGGACGGGTTTATTCTGCTGTTAACAACTTTAGATGCTGCCTTCTCGCTGCTTGGTTAACTCGCATTAACTTTTTTTTAGATCTGGAGCATTATTCCTTGGAATAAAAAAAATTCTTCAAAAATACTGTATATCAACAATTCAACAGCAGCCCCTTCAGAAGATCATCCTGGTTTATGACTGGAAAACAAAAATCATTTTTAACGATTTTGTTGTACTACCGTTTATATGTAGTCAACCCTTTCATGGTATAGAGCCAAGAATTTTTTTTTTTTTTAATTCAGTGTCAGAAAAAATGAAAATTTTAGAACAAGAACATAGCCAAAATCCCAGAACAACATAACCCAAATCCCAGAAGAGCCCACTTTGTTTAACTCAGCACAAAAAATTTTCTGAAAGAAATCATCCTTGAGTGACATTTTCTTCTGGATTCTTGCCTTAGTACAGTATTAACATTGGACAATTTAAAAAAAGGTTGTATTCCCCCAGAATGCCTTTGACTTGATATACTAAGCCCAGGCTGCATTTCAGCAAGATTTGGTCAAACTAATATTGGATTGCATAACAAATCTGCCTCTTTATTGCATCTTTCTTATAACTGCATTCTAGCAAAAAATAAAATAAATTTTGAATACAGCTGCTGCGGTGAACATACACACTCGTGGAAACAAAATTTAGGATCTAGGCCTATTTTCTGCGTATGTGTGCAAGCTATAGTTATTTGTCGGAAATCTATGCTTAAAATCAGGGTGTGCCTGGCAGCACAGACGCGCCAAATGCCACATGCGACACACCCTGATTTTCAGACTTCCAAGAAATAACTTAGTCTCGTATATTTTGTGCATCATATAAGCCAAAGTCCTAAATTTTGCTCCCGTTTTATGTGTTGGTTTGTGTTCATGGGAGGAAAATTTAGGACTTTGTTATTGGTTTTTTATGGGAGCAAAATTTAGGACTTTGACTTATATGATAATACACAAAATATAATAGACCAAGTTATTTCTTGGAAGGAATTTTAGAGTCTATAAATATTCCTCAAGCAAGAGAGAATGTAATACAATGTATACACGAGACCATGTATTCATCCATATCTTCCTCAGGTCTTTTCCAACATTATCATGTGAAGACTATAGGAAGATTCAATGAAAGAATCCATTTGGAAGACAAGCTTGCTGAAAAGTGAACACTTTGGATTGCTTCTCATTTTGCAGATTATTTTCAAATGAAGGAAATAAGAGAGTGGTCTGAGTGCATAATTTAACTGTATAGTCCCTTTTTCATTCTGGTGGGAAAATGTTGCAGGTAGAATTTTTAATTTTTAAATTCTTCACTGCTGGATTTTTGGAATTGTTTGTGGTGGAATGACACGGTCACAATGATTAACCTTGATAAATTAGATATGGTAATATAGTTACAGCGATTTTGTATAATGGTACAGAATTACACTGCTGGGACTACATTTTAGAAGAACTAATGTCCAACATTTTTTTAGTGCATCATAGGGCAGAAGGTAGCATTCATTTCAGTTTTCCCAGGAGTTACAGTATATCTATCCTGTACTGTACATCATCTGTACTGTACTTTATACCTAACCATCGTAGAGTGCAATGGGAAGTCAGCAGGGGGGAAGCTGTTGAAGCCAAAAATTGTGAGTTAGAGCAGTGTTCCCCAACCTTTTTGGGCCTGCGGAAGTGCCAACCAGCAAATTTCCACAAAAAAATTTCACAGATCAGCAAATTCCCAAAAAATTTCTGCAAACCAGCAAAGTTTCATAAATTTTTGCAAACTTGCCAAAGTTTTGCTTGCATTTTATTATGTAAGAAAAATCAGTTAAGAATGTCATCAAACAATTAGAAAGGTAGGCTTGGAGAAAGGTATCTCAGAATAAAAAAATTAAATTATTTCAGTAGGTGAAAATTTGTCCATTGTGTTATCAAGATAAATGCCATCTTTTGCTTTCAACAATTCAACTGTTGATCAGATAATTCAACTGCCATTGTCCTTCTGAAATTTTAGGTAAAGAGAGAAGAACATACTTTATCCCTACTTTTGATAAATTTATTATTCTGAAAATTTCCCCCAGACCACAATTAACTTCACTGAACCACAGACCACTCCTTGGGGAACACTGAGTTAGAGGGCTCTAATATACAGTATTGTAGTACCCTGATGTTTACTGGTCTGAAAAAGTATGTGTGAGGAATTCACTGGATTTACAGAAAATTTATTGGTGCTCAGGATTATAGGTTTCACTCATGTAGAGAGCTTATGCTGTACATGAAGCATCTTATGGTTAACTTAATTTTGAACGTTCTGGTATACAAGTATCAGCTGTGAAGTCATAGAATAAGGCGTCGTAAAGGTACCCCCCCCCTTCAATTATTATTCTCTAACTGCCTTCCAGGAAGTTGTGCTCACCCTTCAGAGGTGGTTCTTCATTTTCCGCACCCCTTGAAATGTGTGGACAAATGTAGGGTTCCTTTCCGATGGTGCATGATCGAAGATTAATGTTGACCAAAGAACAAGCTTCAGCACATTTTCCTGAAATAGAATTTGGCTTTGAAGCGGTGGGTGGTATGCCGTTCGGGGAAGACATTGATACGATAATACGTGATGACGGAAGTCGCCCTCCCATGGATCTTCATTTCGACACAGTGCTATGTTTTTTCTAATCGGGTAGTCAAGATCTTGAATCGTGCTGTGAAATGTAACGTCGCGGACGTCCGAAGTTGTGTGGCGTGATTGGCTTGCTGGTCATCCTGTTGTGCTTTTGTTTCAGACTTTTTTTTTCAATCTTGCATCGTGATGGTGGTGAATGTTCCTGTTCAATTTCGAGAAGCGGATGAAGCATGAAAACTCTCAGGCTTCAGCATCATACCCGCTCACAGAATCACAGTACGGGGAATCAATAATCATCGAGTATATGTCAAATGCACGGCGTCTTATGTTTATCTGATTAGGTGGGGATCTTATTATAAATTCTAACGCGTTACCGGGTCTCGCTGATGGCGTCATCATCGAAATTTATCATCCGGAAGACGTCGGTCCTCGTTTACTACTTCAAGTTCAGATCAAGAAGGATTCAGGTGCTTTAATAGCTAAAGGTGAGCATCATATTGGGCTTGAATTTCTTCCCTCCTACTTTCGTAGTTAATTCCTGTTTCTGGCTATCAACGCGTTTTATTTTTTGATTGCTTATGGTGTTTGTATTCTTGCACAGTACAGTACTCCTACTGATTCCTCGAAATCGTAGAGTTCCGTTTATGATTGACGTTTGTGACGCAGCGTGAAGAAATCGGCTATTGTCTTGGATTATTTTATTAGATAATGTTAGCGTCGAAGAAGGAATTGCTCAAACATTCAATCTCCGGGCGTATGTCCATGTCATCGTGAATTTGGTTGAACCGGCGAAAGTTTCGTTGGACTCCGTCGAAGTAACATTTAAGGATACCTATTTTGCACGTTCGGACATGTGGAAGCTGAAGGAGTGTTTGGTGAGAACGTATTTAGTTATGCTTCGAATGACATGCTCACTGGTGAAGCTTTCGTTCATAATTGCAGATTGGGACCTGCATATACCTGAATAAAAAGCTAGAATTCTGCAGTGGTTGCGTAAGATGCCAGGTGTACGAGATGTGGTGTCGTGGAGATCGAGTCGGCAGCGGTGTGGTGACGCGGGATACTAAAGTGTGTGTACCGTCGACCTTGTTTGGAGAGAATTGGACAGATGTATCTTTTTATAGGTTGTGTTCCGGTCATTGACTGGAATGGTGTATCTGTTCATACAAATGTCGGCAGAAATGTGGGATTTCGACATTCACGGTGACTTGTACTTCGAGAAGGCCGTCATTGGTTTCCTCAAGGATTTGTTTTCGAAGTGGAAGGTGTGATATCTGCTTAGATTTTCAAGTATTTGCAAACGTTTTTGTTGTTTACACGGTTCCGTCTGAGCATCTGCTGTATTTTAAAGTAAAGTACTGTACTCATGTTTGATTCCAGCGGCAAGGAAGTAATCACGAAGTAACAATCGTGCTATTCTCGCGCACCTTCTACAAGGCGAAGAGTTTGGATGAGTTTCCCGATTACATGAAAAAATGCCTCCAACAGGATCACAAGGGTCGTTTCTATGAAGATTTTTACCGGTAAAAGTGAAATTCAATGTTCATTTTTTTTATTTTTTAGCTACATTCAAGCTTTGTTTCACTGTGATTCATTGACGAATTCTACGTTACAACGATAGGGTTGCCGTGCAAAATGAACGATACGAAGACTGGTCTCCGAAGTTATGCCTTCTTAAAAAATTGTTCTATGAACATGAACGTAAAGTTTTGGGATGTCACGAAAGGTCTGGATTCAAGGTGCCCAAAGCCGTCAACTCGTCTGCTAGTCAAGGAAATTTCTTGGAAACTCTAAATATATCGTTGAATGGTGACTCCGTTGTTTTTTCTCTGTTCTTCAATCAAATAATGTGTATTGCATTACAGTTTTTGAGAAGCATTACATCGATCGTAGCTTAGATCGAACAGGACAAGTTTCTGTGGTGATTACTCCTGGGGTAGGCGTTTTCGAAGTCGATCGAGAGCTCACGAACATAACGAAGCAGAGGATAATTGACAACGGTGTTGGGTCTGACTTGGTTTGTCTCGGCGAGCAACCGCTTCATGCTGTTCCATTATTCAAGTTTTACAGCAAGCTGTCTTCTTCAGAAGGTGTCACGGCAGACTTCAGCATGCCCCACAATTGGATCAATTTAAGTTTTTACTCAAGTTCTAACAAGCAGATGGGTTACAATACTTTCATACCGCGTGTCAAGATTCCCGAAGCTTCGCAGTTCGACAAGAAAAGATTGAAAGGGGTAGATGGGAATCCCAATGGGACGCAAGATAACGTAAATTCGAATGTCGCTTCCTTTTGTGCTGCATTCCCTACGTCTCCAAGGGATTACGATGCATACGATGCGCAAGTCTTCCAGATTCCAGGAACGTATTGGACCAGAAACCCAGAGAAGTACGAGTCCGGATTTTTGCGCGCCAAGGATTGCAACAGGGCTGTGCATCGATCAGCAACTTTCACGCGGAAGCAGAGCGATGTCGATCTTTGCATTTCTTCGAACCGCGAAGATGCAACGTCAACGGAGTTCGTGAAAGAGTTTTCTGTCAGGAAATCTGCGCGATGTGAATCCCAGAGTGCTGTCGACAAATCTCCTGCAATTTCGATACCAGGTGCATCAACAAAACGAATCATGCCTCCCATTATTTCTGCCTCCTTTGGAGCTTTGAATCTCGAATGTAAGCACACGCCCTTTTATGAATTATCTTGTTTTGGGTCATACTTTCCCATGTCCTGATTAATGAGAAATGCGGTCGCACGTGGTCACTACATTGCTCGAGTGAGATAACTGGGGAAGCCGCTAAAACGTGAGGAATACCTTATCTTCCCTCCTCTGCTGTACCTCTTCGCTTCACTCATCGTGATTGGGAGATTTACGAGAATGATTTCATTTCATCCTGTTCGGCTTTGTTAGCCTGCTGAAGGGGCATTTTTTTGGCTTTTTCACTTCGAATTTGTGCTCCAGAGCGAGGCTTATATTTTCCTTGGACGATGTTTCAGCACGACTGCTTCGGGGAATGTCCATGCGTGAAGTGGACAGTGACTACTTCCCGCCGCCGTTCAGAGAAGGTGTGGTTGGAAGCGTAGGGCCCGAAATGATGTTCTCTTCAACCTTTGAATTCACGAGCTCAGAACTCGAAAGGAATGGCAAACGGTATTCTGCGGATGATGACGTGTACACCTGTTCATCGACGAATGTGGCGAATTCGTTTTGCGCGAGAAGAAGACTCAAATGTCATTCTGGCTCCGTTTCGACCGGTGCCATGCCCATCACTGCCAGGTCGCTTGTGAATCCGTTCGATCCGTCCCACATGACGATCAAGTTGACATCCAACAGACGCCGGTGGACGCACATTTTTCCTAAAGGTCATTCTTGGAAATTTCTACATCGAAACGTATCGAGAAAAATTTAGTTATGCAGAAATTAATTTTCGGAAGTTCGATAACATCCGGCCGCGATGGAGACTTCTTTGGTGAACGCAGCTTGATTCTGCATGCGCGATTTTGTCGATTATGAGACTTCCGCTTTCTGTAAAATTTCTGTATTGAGCTTTTCGTTTCGAATACTCTTTTAATTTTGCCACTCTTGAGTGGGACGATCGCCACAGTAACACCGTAATAGGTCTAACCATTCAAACGTGCTCGCGGTTGCGTCAACTAATATTCTACTACAGTATAAAAAACCTACATCAGAAGTCTTGTTATGCCCATATTTTCTAAAGCATAACTCATCGATGTTTTTCAGCTGAATTTTTTTTCCGATGATATCTGAACGATTGCCTACCGTCCACTTTTTGTATAGCAACTTCGAATGACAGATTTCTTTGAAAAATCCTTTAGGTTCCATAAATATTTCGCTTTCAGGATGTAGAACCATTTTGGCAGTCGAAAATATATGCTGTACTGTATGAAATTGCTTAAATTACTTCAGATTTTTCAAGCGAATCCATCTTCATGAACGTTTTTCCATCATTCGAAACTATTGTACTGCACTTCAATTTTTCTCATTTTCTTCTATTACCCGAGGAATAATTCAAGAACTTATGATATTCTTGATTTTTTCACTCCTGAAGAATAAAGAGGATTGTTTGTTTTTCTGATAGTAGAGAATATCCTTCATGGCAGTGCAAGTGAAAATCTTTCAATAGCATTTCATACTGTACTGTACATGATTTTTAAAGAAGTCATAGTTGTATGGTGGAAGGAAAAGAAAGTTTTTGTAACTGCCATTTATGAGCCGCAAGTGTAGAAACAATTAACGGAAAAACTTCGTTGTGAAGAAGTTTTCGATCAATTCTAATGGAATTACTGCATTTCGAGATGGGAGGAAAACTCGGCGACAGACACCCGACTCTCGTTCCTTCCCTTTTTATGCGAGCGCTACAAAGTTCCATTTTATTGCTCTATTTTTTTTTACGAAATTGCTCATCAAAATAAATATTAGCGTAAAAATGGATCCGTACGGTTCCTGTTGGGAACCTTGAATAAAGACTGTTATGCCCAGAAATTTGTCACGTAGTGACGGTATTTTTCTAATGGAATTCTACCAGATTTGGATGTGCGTAGTGTTGAAATTTCCTACAAGGAATATTGATTTATTTTAGCGCCCGAGTTGTAATTCCTTTAAATGCGAAGTTGTGCAGATGACTAACTGCTGCTGGGGATTGATGCGCTTCTTGTCGAAGATGACTTGATATTTCAGCACCGGAAAATATTTTCTCGGACTTTGATGATACCTGTCTGAGTAGCTAATGCTTCTTTGGGGCTCTGTTATAGGTCCGGAAGGTGTCCTCATCCAACAGCACCATTTTCAAGCAATTCCGGCGTCGAACCAAAGTCAAAGCTACAGTTCAGGCTACGAAAGTGATTCCTCAAACGATCGCTTAGGTTTGCTTTCAATCGAATGAATCATTTTCCGATCGTACATTGATTTTGCACTTTCTTCGTAGAACAAAAAATATCCAAACGAAGGGTCGCTGCGCAAGGACTGGAAAGCAAGAGAAGTGAAACTCTTCTTTGGGGCGCCACTGGAGAGCAGGAGTGGACGCCAGCCCTTACGACTGGTGAGGCACAGAAAGCGAGTTAATGAAGTGCATTGGAATGTGGTTTTCGCTTTTCCGATTGCTCGTTTGTGCTACAGCGGTTTTGCTTCATTCATGCTTCGAATATCCGCCAGTTCAAGGAATGATGAATGTTTCTCGCCTAATCATGAATTTTTGCGTACACGATTTCCATGAGCTGATCAGGCATCTAATTCGCAGTTCAGTCATATTTTTGAAGATCATGACGATTATGTCAGTTATTTCACCAGGAACTAGTGGGTGCGATTTAGAGGCGTATTTTTGTGTGTTTTATGCCCCAGTCGCGTATGTCCTTCGTTCGTAATTCGTGAGTTTGACGACAGCTCTGGCACAGGTCATCGAATTTCATGGAGATTGCCTTGCGTTCCACTGCATTCATTGACTTTTGGTGCGCTCGGTCGTTCTATGCGCTGTTCGATCGCCTCCCTCTACTGAGCTTTTTTTTTAAATTCGATTTCACATTAGGATCGAATTTTTTCTTTCCTCATGGATTTTTCTCTCGAATATTTTTTTTTTGCAATTTGTTTCTGCTCGGAACGGAATAATGCCAATGTCTCCGTTGAAACGATGTTGGCGTTTTGGATTTTTGACTGCGGCAGCGATTCGGCCTACAATGGGATACCGACCGGGAAGTGTGAGAATCGGTGGGCACATTTTCGAAATTTATCTCCTATCCTTCCAGTCGTCGACCTGTGCACTTGACTTCAATCCCTAAGTTCAACACAAATTCATTTCCCTGCTTTGATGCATTCATGTCCTTTTCAATTTCTCTCTGTAATTTTATTTTCGGTATTATCTATTCGCGATTTCACAGCCCGTCTGCGTAAATTTCCTATGCTCTGACATAAGCACCTTATGACCAAGCGTGACATTTTCGAACGCTTTCAGAAATTTCAATCCTGCAGCGTACTAAGCTAAGGTTTTAGCGAAGCCCGATCCCCGAATGAGTTCCTGATGCCTCGAGTGCTTCGTATCAGCGACATCGCTGGTGTTCGGATACAACTCTCATCGGCCACATATTATTCCTGAATGGATCGTTGCGTCAAAACGTTCTAGCTTTTCATTCGTAGTGGAGCGACTCGTTTGATTCGCCGTAGGCGAAGACGAAGGTTTTCTGCGCGCTCTTTATTCTGCATCTGGTGAAGGCACTTCATTTTAGGTTGCGGGGCATTCTTGCATGTTGATTGTTCGGGGTTTTCAATCTAGGATCATTCACATAGAATTCGCTTCAAATTATTATTTTTTCTGCGGGATGTAGGTGTTGATTGGAAATCGTTGACGATTCCTGCGTGTTTGCCCATCACAACGGACTACTTCCCGGACGATCGAAGTTTATGGACAGATTATGTTGTTGGAGGCACGAATACTCTTGAACCTGAAGCTGTAGCAGCTGACATAAAACGTTTGAAATACGGGCATTGGAAACAGTTGACGACAGAGCAGGTTTTCTGGGAGATGGAAGCTCAGCGTCTACAGCAGGTAATATTCGACTGTTCATGTACTTCAATAATTTCAGAACCGTGCGGGGAAAAAATTCAGATTTTGCGAGTGGAAGCGTTTCCTGCTTAAAACCGTAGATGGGAGGGATGTTGCATGTCATTTTCGATGCACATTATCTTTCATTGTCGTTGTTCGCTATAGAGAGAAGGAAAATTACTCTCAGCAGCCAATAGTGATTCTTTATATGGGACGTGATTGTTACAATTCTGTGATATTTTCCGGTTTAGTGGAGTCGGTTGATCTGTGACAACGTAAATGAAGAAAAATGTTATAAATCTCTTGAGACTCGTGGCTGTGCGGAAATGCCGCTCCAGTAGATTTATGAAGCCATCCCTGCTCTGTTGCCATTTTGAACATTTGCCTGAAACAAGGTTGCATTTTTTGAAGCAATTCCTATCCGCGATGACTTTTTTCCATCTTTCATGACCGATGCCATTCGTAAAAACATCTGGTAACTTTTCGCCGAGAAGGATTTCTGGGGAGTTGATTTGATGATCAGAGCATCGCAGTGCCTATGCAGTTATTTATCTCAGAAGTGCGAAGAACCAAGGGTATGCATAACGGTCTTTTGAAGTGCATGTTGCCGCCTTTTGCTACGCACTGGTTCTCCTTTCCTGAATCCAGAACTCATTCTCTTTCAGACAGCGAATTTCATCGAAAAGAGAACTTATTTGGATGCACATACACTCTATGCATACCCAGACCATCTTTTACTTGTGTACATACAGTATTAGTACATTCTCCGTTTCACGCGTTCTCATTTGGGTTTCTGCGATTCGTAGGGTTTCCAGTTGATCGTCTTCGAAGATAAGCCACCTCCGTCCAAGAAAAAGCTGAAGACAGAGCCTACTGGATCTCTCTCGAGAAGTAGTAAAGGAAAGAAGAATCGTAATAACGTTGAAGGATCGCCTGGTTCAGGTTCATTGCAACTGGCCGGTTCGCCAGATATGTCGGAAGGATTTTTTTCGATGAAACCAAGCCCAAGCTTGAGTAGGAGCAGAGTGAACGTTGGAAATACGCCAGAGGTTGACGAAAAATTTGAACGCACGACATATTTGTCTATTGGACGCATTTTCCATGAGCTGACTTTGTCTGGAACCACGATTTCGGTCACCAGATACTTCCCGAGGTAGAGTTGAGCAGATTTTCTGTCATTTTTTCATGATTCATCATCTTACCTTTGACAGACATCCATATCCATCACTGAGCCGCCAGTATCAGTATCGTTTTCTGGCACCATTCTCGGAAAAATTCGAAATGTCTAGGACAACATTTGAGACGGAAAAACTGGAAAACTATCGATGGACTTATTTGGATAACTATGTTTGTACAATGGGAGAAAGTGACTTTCCACTGACAGAAGTATGAAGGGCTTCTCTCTTGAGATGAGCGCCGTGATATAGTCGACATATATTTTTTTGCAGGATTTGAAGTATTGGCGGTTTCCAATGCTGTTGCTTCCGAATCTAAACCTGGCCCTCAAAGCACCCGAAGAAGTATTTCATGGCCCGCCTTATGCCAAGCTTTTTTGTCCGGAAAATCTTTCAAACCTCTACGATGGGTTTCTGCGTTTCATTGAAGCTGTTGTTAATCGTATCCGTCGGTCAACAGTAAATCGTGGATTTCCGAAGGTAGGCTATCCTGGTTGGCCGCCAAATTATTTATGATTTTTAAAATTTATGAAAAACAGAAAAATTAACAGTAATTCCTACTGTCATCCAGCTTGAAAGAATAATTTTTTCATTGAAAATTTTTAAAATTCTGTACATTTTTCGAAACAATTGTATCAAAAATTTGTCAATTCACGTTTGAAGCAAAAACTATCTCTAGACAAGTGAATTCAACTTAACATGGAGTCTAAGCTTCGTTCTTATTTCTCTCCACTTCTTGTATAATTGTTCAAAAGTGGTCGAAGCTTATGGGCGACCCTGTATTATAACGATAAGGAAATAATCTTTTGACGCTTGGTGAGGTTATGTTGCAAGCAGGAACTCCAATGTTCACTTAATGCACTTCGTATGAGATTTTAACGTCTTCTGAATATGACTTTGGCGGAGATTTCAAAAACTCGTGGATTTCCAATTTTCTTGGCGTTTTTTTCATTGATTTTTGTTCGTTTTTGTTCTCCTTGGTGGCTGTTAACGTCAAAGTTTGTATTGTGTAAAAATGTCCAGTTATTGTGAATACGTTACGCACCTTCTTATAGCTACTTAAAATAGATACCACAGTGCGCCATGTTCTGTTATTTTAAGTCAAATTAGTACTACATTATTTGGTGAGGTGAAATTACTTTCTCCTTTGATTCTTTGTAGATGTAGAAATTCATGAAGTTCAGATCTGGAACTTCCATGCTGGACAAATCGGTTGAGTAAACCAAGTGGCTCTTCCTTTTCTCGAAAGTAAAGGTGTTCGTAGTTCCTGTTCTAAATTAATCTTAGCCTGTTTACGCGTTACGGGGGTATCGTTGTCTATCTCCATTTTTGCTTGATGTTAATTGCCGGACTGCTTACTTCCGAATGCAGCAGAACTTGAAGCCGTTGTCGTCCGGCGTCATGAGATCTGGTCCCACTAGTCCGATTGCTACTCAACGTGGAGGGAAGTGCATCTCCCCCATCACTGTCCAACAAGCGCAACGGTTACAGTCATGTGATACGTCTCGTTCCGGATCTCCTGATCGAACAGCTCTTGGAGATGAATGGTGCTCAGAATGCAAATCAGATTGTGCCTCATGTGTAATTGATTTAATCGTTCCTTTAATACTTTTAGTGTTGAATTCACCTGTACTACTAACGTGCCGCAGTCGTCTGAAGAAGTCGATCCATTGCCGAATATGTGTACGCCGAACCAAGAATTCTTTGAAATAATGAGAGATCCTGTTGAAGGCATCAGTAAGTATTCTCTCTTGTTTAGTTCACGGAAGTGATAGTTTTCTGATCTCGTCGATCTCCTAGTGCTACTACCGATGCAGATCGGACTTCCTAGTTACTCGTTTGTATCAGGAGATGCCGTTACCTGGTTCACGAAAAGAAATCCAAAAGTCACGAACGACCTCGCCGTTAAAAAATTCCAGGTTTAGTAATTTTCGAGTCTTCGGGTTTCTAGGATCACGGGGAATATCCGAATACCTTTTTTCAGGAATTGTTGGACAGCGGTTATATTCTTCATGCGTCTGGCGATACGGAAGTCCGTTTTCTGAATGGGTTCTATCTGTACTGTTTTTCACCTTCGAAGATTCCAGTAGGTTCGAAAACGCCAATTGGGGCTGTGAGAACAAATTCAGGTAGAATATATTGCTGAAAAACGCCTAGCCTCTTGCGAAGTCCATATTGTGTCCGCTTTCTAGGTGACGAGGTATCGTCTGATGGGCAGAAACAAACTGAAATCGCTTTTCCGCGAAAAGATATCGGATTGTGCTCGTTTCAAGAAGAGTGGGTTGAAGTGGAAACTGTGGAAGTCCCTTCAGTTGCCCTCGATCTCTCAGCCTTTCTCAAGCCAGAAGTTTCAGAATCGCTCTTCTGGTGGGTCCCCGGTGAGTGTAGCTTGATCACCATCTTTTATCAAGATTTTTTGTTCATTCTGTGGTACAAGTCTCATTCGTTTTTTTTTTTTTTTTTTTTTTTTTTTTATTTTTTTTTTATTTTTTTCATTTTNTTTTTTTTTTTTTTTTTTTTCAAATTGGGCCTCTGTTATTTCATCAAACTGGGCGCTAATAGTTGTTGACCATTGTGCGATTATAAAAGAAAACATATCTGACCATAGGAAATGTCTACAAGACCGTGGATATAGAAGTTGATCCCAACAGAAAGAGTGACAGGGTCGAATACGCACATGCCAAGTATCAGCAGCATTATCGAGCTGATACAGCGTACGAGATTATGATTTATTGGATGTGTGCAACTGGTCCAATTATGGGAGAAATGGCCATGGCTTGGGCTAGGAAAGCAATGCAATATGGATTTTATCTTGTACCCATTCCTGGTGATCCGTTCGCATTGCCGTTTTCATGGAAAAGTGATCCATTGCGTGGGCCGATTCATGTTTCTTTACACTGGCGCAGCATTCTGGAGAAAATGAACCCGCAGCCGATGCATCTGTTCTACGGTCCGTGATAATCTCTGACCATTATTTTGAAGATTTTTTCCAGACTTATTGCGTTATTTTTTAAACAGAGTATCCTCAGGAGTCTTGGAATACCAGAATGTTCCTTTTCCAAGAAGCGCTTGTAAGAAGCTTTGGATTCATTCCTTTTCAACCATATCAGTCCGCTGGCATAAGTTCAAATGGAAATTTATTGACGGTTCCGAGTCCTGGTGGCGGCTACACCCCAGATGCTTCCGGCAATCTTGTTGGTCCCATGCCTCAGTATGTTCATTTTTCTGGGATTGCGTTCCTGATGATACGTCCTAATCCCATTTTCGATGGAAAACAAGGATCTGTAGGCAAGCCTGAGAAACGCTCGGAGGTGAGTTCATTCCGCCGCGCATTATTGATAACTCTGACAAAATGTTCGCAATGCTCCGGCCACCTTTCTTGCATCACAATATAAAGTTCTGCGAGTTCCTAGGTTCCTTCGTGAATATTTCCCAAACCTCCAGCGGTTTAAATTTTCATTATGTTCCGTGCCATTTTTTCCCAAGTTGCCCGGTTTGCTTGGGAAATATTTACTTCCTGTTTATTCAGATTTCACTGTCGGCAAGTTTTCTCTTTTCGTAGATTATGTACAATTCGAGATTCACTTATGTTTTCTCTTTTTTGTAGCCCGGATTTTTGTGGTCGTGGAACTACATGTTGACGAAAAAATGGAGACAGATGGCCATGGGCGCCCCTCCGAGCGGCGTTGCAACTGGCTCGTCGACAACTGGAAGTTCTGTCATGGAACCAATTGAGATCTACGGGCCGAAGTTGCTCCAGGAATTTAGAGCGTTCTGTTCTAACCAAAATGGCTTGCTGGAGCGTTTCCTTAACTGCATTCGTGAGTCGAATCTTCCGCACCGAATCAATCCTTGCGCTAACAAGGAGGGATAGTTCAGGAATACCTGTATTGCTCCATGATTCTATTTTTGCGTAATGCGCTCGTTGAGGGATTTGTCTGGGAAAACGACACCATGTCGTTGTTCTATGCGTGTGATGACGTTTGCATTCGCAGCGGATTTGTCTGTGATGAATTCAAATATGTAGTGCAACCAGCTTACCAGTTCACACTTTGGGGAAATTTAGGTAATTTGTCTTGAAATGTTGGGTTCGTAATCATTTGGATATTATTATTTCTTTTTTATGCCTTCGCGGTTGGGAAGCATTCCAGAGGCGGAGAACAATGATAGTTGTCTATCGGGTTCGTTTTCTGCGTGGTGTTGGCGGATTGATTCAAATTGAGTCTTTCTGTGCTTGGGAATTGATTTTTTTCGGAGACCCGAATAAAATATGTTCAGATCTTCGTGTGTTGATTGGTTACAACGGATCGTGCTGAAGTTAACTCAATCGTCTTATTTCAGAGTTGAGAGGTCCTCTCGATTTAGTGCGAGTGTCAAGGGTGTGTGGTAGTAAAGGGTCGAGGATGTCCGAATTAAATCCTGCGGCTATCCCTCAGCAGTGTGATGATTGGCACGGAGATAGCCGTTGGTTGAACATGGTGAGCTTTGAAATTAGTCGAGATGTTTCTCTACATCGTGTGACTTGAATATTTCATACTCCAGCATCAGCGTTTTGTCAGCCAGACGAAAACGGCGGAGCCCGAAGTCGTTTTCATCGGTGATTCTATCATTGCACAGTTGGAGCACACCGAAGTGTGGGACAAATGGTTTGTCCCATTCCATGTGCTGAACTTCGGCATCGGAGGAGATCAAACTCAGCACGTTCTGTGGCGTGTTCAGAATGACGAGCTGGATATAATAAAACCCAAAGTAATTTTCTGGATTTAGTTTTCCTAATTCATCATTAAGCTGTAATGGAGCATGTATTAAAATTTGGCAAATGTCGGGGAAGTTTATGACATACAGTACTTGTATTTCATCCTAAGATGATCGAGATGCTCATTGTGCACAGTTTCTATCGTCGTCGAGTTTTGCAAACATGTGTTCTTCGTTATTAGGTTATAGTTCTGTTGGTGGGAACGAACAATCACGGACATACCCCTGAGCAAGTAGCTGGCGGAATAAAAGCTATTCTGGAAGCAATTCGCGAGAAACAGCCTCAAGCTTTAATTTTGACTCTCGTAAGTGAGGATATTTTTCTCCGAGAGGTTATTCTCTCATAGTTACATTTTCTAGGCTCTACTCCCGCGCGGGCAGTACAGGAACCCTTTGCGTGACAAAATCGCCCGCATAAACCAACTGATGGTTGACGTCATCAAAACGGTTCCAAATTGCGACCTTTTGGATCTTGGCTGTGATCTGCTTGGAGATGATCAAACAATTTCTCATCGTGACATGTATGACTATCTGCATCTGACTCCAGAAGGCTACAAAAAGACTTTTGAAATGCTGCATTGTTACCTGGAGGAGTTTTTCAATCCCGGTAAAACTTTGGAGAACTGATGGTACCTGAAAGTCAAAAATGCATGGATATTCAAGTGCGGAATTGCTTTTTGCTTGATGAGTTTGAGACAAAAATGTGCGGTTTCCTTCAGTTAAGGTAACTGCCGCAAATGTGATTGCGCAGGTCGTCATTTGATTTCTTCAACGAGGACTGCGTCGGATTCGTTCGCTGATCAGTTTTGAATTACTTTGTACGTCGAGAACAGTATTTCCTTGAATTATTCAAGGCTTCGATTTAGCCGAGTGAAGTTGTTGACTTGAAATCGCGACTGTCATGTGTACCGAGCGCCCTCAAGGAGAAGGCGCACTTTTATATAGAAGAAAATTCAGTGTAAGAAATTTATCCCCGGGTAAAACGCGCACCTTAACGGGACCAAACAATCTTGATTTAAATAAGACACAAGTATGAATTCAGTTTCGAAGTGAAATTTGAAATAGATTGCGTTTTGCTTGTGTTTTCATATTCCCCATGATGTGTTTTGGTTGGGTCATCCATACGAAGAAGATAACCTATGAAGAAGTTGTGGTGTTCGGTAGAGCAGTTCATCTCAAAAACTTTGAAAGTATTTTGTAATCAAGCTGGGGAAAAAACTAGAATAACAAGCTTGAGAATGCTTATCAAATTTTCATCCATGATTTTGCTTTTACGGTATTCACCATTCGAAGTTGAAAAAATTGAGAAATTGAAAATATGTGTTTTTATGAATTATTTTTAAATCTTGAACCTGTATCACCAAGTGAGATGCGAGAAATTGCTAACTCTTGGATTAGATTGAAGCCGATTTTTTATGAAATTAGGGAGACTTTTCAGCTCGTATCATTCGAAGTTTTAAATTTATTTGAGCCCAGATTCAGACTCCCATCTTATTGTTGTTTTTGAAGTGCAGTAATCCAGTTCACGGATCGGTCTGTGATTTGAGTCTTAGCGACTTTCCTTACCCATTTCTCGACTACATTTCGACGTAAACTTTTCTCTTGATGTTCATCCCTTCTTTTGTTTTGCTTTTGGAAAAAAAGATGAGTGGTACGCGATTGAATGCCTTATTTGTTGTTGCATTAGAAGTTGCTGTATCTGGTGTTTTGGTGAAGCTGATTTTGTGGAAGTTGAAAAAAAATCGAGATTCTGTTCCTCCGGTAGTTGAATGTTTCTGTCGCGGAAAGCTCGTGTAGGAATGATTAGCCTAGCTTTTTGGCCTGGTGATATTGTTCCCATTCGTTGCGACGAGTTTTTGTTCAGAAGACAATTCATATTTTAATGTATTTGATGAAGCAATCCCTGCTTAATGATGGCAAACTGCCGCGAAACGATCATTTAACCCAAACGTGATAAATTCTTAGATCAAAGACTAGATTATTTGGTCGCCATTCAATTTGTTTTGTTTTCATTTGACCGCAGGTTATTTTGGTTTAAAGCATCCCAGTCCTTATGATTAGGTTCCCGCTTTATACCATCTCAATGGTCGATTCTGTCGCACCTCGTTGTTGAACCCGTGAGGAGCGGGGAGGGAGTTCGAATTGGATAAACTTCGAAAAGATGCAGCCGCTGGCTGTGATGATTGCTGGAGTGGTGTAGAGGAGAAACATTTTTGCGAATATTTCGTGCTTATTCGCTTTGCACCGGTTCCCGTTGAATTTATTTTTTCTGAACTTGTTTTGATGCGCGACGCGGTTCATTCGTTTATCAGCTCTCCGAGGAATGAATTCGATTTTTTTAATTTCCAGCCTTCGCTTTCTTTCACATTTTCTGGCCCTGCTTTCAGGTTGTTGGTCGATGAATGGTGTATTTTCACAGAAATGTAGCATTCTTCTTCGTGCAGCTGCCCTCGAGGATTCAAACCGACATCCGGAGTCTTAGTCCATTTAGAAGAGCCTAGAGTTTGAAATGCGATGGCAATTTGTGAGTGCATTATTTATTCAGCTTGATGCTCAGCGCGATGAATACGGAAGAAATCTTCGCAGAATGGATGTTTCTCACTAGCCCTTCTCTTGTAGACTCGGTTCCACTGCGCGTTTGGTCCTCTGGGACTTGGTTCAGTGAGTCATTTGTGCGGAAGTTTTCGTGCATTCGCGCGATGTCGCGTGCCACTTCTGCGGCGACACCTTCCCAACGTTGTCGTTATGGACCACTCGTCGGGGCAATTGACCAGGGAACTTCCAGCTCAAGATTTTTGGTTTGTTTCAAAATCATCGCTTTGCCTCTTCTTGACAGTTCTTCAATGAGCATTTATCTGTGGAATCGTACTTCCCGATTGATTCTACATTTACAGAGATTGCCTAATTGTGAGGGTTTTTTTGGAATTACGTTTCGATACAGGGTCAGATTCCGTGCATTATGAAATTCAGATTGCCTTCTACGCTTCAAGGTATTCCGCGCTCAAACTGGAGAGCTGCTCACTTATCATCAGATGGAGACAAAGCAGTTATTCCCGAGAGAAGGTTGGGCTGAGCAAGATCCGTTGAATATCCTTGAAACGGTCGAAGAGTGCATTGAGAAGGCAGTGGAGAAACTAGAGAAGTTGTCAATCGACCCCAGTGATATCAAGGCTATCGGAGTAACGAACCAACGCGAAACAACTGTGACGTGGGATCGCCGAACTGGTTTACCCCTGTACAATGCCATCGGTACGAACAAGCATTGTCGAATCGGTGTTCGTCGTCCTGGAATTTAGAAAATAATCTAAATCTGTGATTCTTAGTATGGCATGACATGAGGACGACGGAAACTGTGGACTGGTGTATTGCGAGAACATCGTCCAAAGATAAGAATCATTTCCAGTCAACTTGTGGGCTTCCAATCACTACCTACTTCAGTGCCGTGAAAATGCGGTGGCTTATGGAAAATGTTCCCAACGTTTATGATGCTGTGCACGAAGGACACGGGCTATTCGGAACCATCGACTCCTGGATTGTTTGGGTTGGTAGTTTTTCTTCGGATCTCAATGATTTCCTGATGCGAGGAAGGCTGTGGTCAAGCTCGTCAAAGATTTTGTGCATGATGCTTCCGTTCATCTTCAACTCCGGACAGGAAAACATTAATGACGCGTTGCTGTAATTTTGCATTTTCGTATTGAAGGTTGTAGCCGTTTAGGAAGCACCATCGAAAAATAACGAGAAGAATATCTTTTGAAGTTTCCAGAAAAGTGAAATACAGTACTTCACTGAATATTTTCTATTCAAACCGCGATGATCAATCCAGAGATCCGTCTTCTCCGATGAGTTCTCTCGTTCTTTTTTTGTTTTTATATTCTGTCTTCGCTCTCGTGGTTCTTAAGAAATTACGTTTTTCGTGATGATTGATTACATTTTGACGTAGTTTCGTATTTTGTATCACCTGCTCGCAGAACTTGACCGGTGGTCCTCGCGGTGGAATCCACGTTACGGATGTAACAAATGCATCTCGTACAATGCTGATGGACATCAAGACCATGCAATGGGACTCTGAAATCTGTCGTTTCTTCGAAATCCCGAAGGATATTTTACCGACGATTCGAAGCAGTTCCGAGGTTTACGGGCAGATTGTTGATGGGCCACTGCATGGCACCCCAATATCTGGGGTAAGTCGACCGTCTGTTTGAAGTGACGACCAAGCAACTTGCGTGCACATGAACTATTTCCGTAGCCTAGATGCTGATGCTGAAATTTACTCGGGGTTTGTTTGTCGAACTACGCTAGATAATTTTTCTTCTATTGCAAAAAGTTCGAAAGGAATCTTCCCCCTTTTGCCACTTTCTGACCATCGCGAAAATGCTGCACATGTCCAGATTGTTCGTTGCATGGTTGCTCGTATTCAATTTTTCCCGAAGTTGGTTTTCCCGAAGTTGAATTGCTTCTGTAAATTAATTGAATTGCTTTCGCATTCCCTTTACTCCCCAAATCTGCTTTCTTGTGATTCTTCTCTGCTTTGTAACGCATGATGATTTTTGAATTTGTGAGAATTCTGAACGAAAAATCAACTGATACCTGTGCTGTCTTCTATAAATCCTGAAACAAATCGGAATTTATGCCTTATAAAAGAAAAAAATTGTTGCTCGCATTTCTCACGAATGAGAAAAAGAAAACTTCCTTGTATGTAATTGGGCTAATACGTTTATTATTTTTCTGTTCCAAATGTAACGGATTCTGTTCGAAAATGTGAATGACCCCTACTCCGTGGTACTGTGGATGAGGAATTTAGTCACGGGATAATTTGTCTCTTTACTTGTAATTACTCTTCATTAACGCACAGTTTCTCGAGAAGTCGATAGGAGTATTTTACAAGGAAGGAAGTCTTCGCTGCTGCAAAAAAGATTTAAAACTTCGGTTGTTCGGGAAACTGTTTCATAGACTGAAGATTTCGTGTAATTGTCGGAAATGTTCTTGTTTATACAGTATTCAATGTCAGTCTATCGAAGACATGTATTTTGTATGCGTGTTTTGAAGTTCGCAGAGCAAAGAAGTCCTCAAATAAACTCAGGTTCAAAAAAATTCGTTAGTTTTTCAAAGAAGTGCGAGAGTTGTTGAAGATACAGGTTCAGATAGACTGATTGAGTAATGTTTTTGGAGATCTGTGTTCTAGATCTAAACTAGAGTACGCGGACTTGTTGCAATATTTATGACGTACGAAACCTTCCATTTTTCATCATTGCGTGAAGAGTTGGTTGAGTGTCAGTATTGCTTTTTGTCTGTATTGAGCCACAGATTCTATCATTTCGAAGCATTTTTGAACTTTTTTTCAACAGTTTCAATTCTTATATTTCAATCCAAATCTTCGAATTTCGGGGTCGAATTGATCAATGGTTTCTATTTGTTCTTTTATTATGAAAATTTTAGATCCTCGGAGATCAACAGGCTGCATTGGTTGGCAACCGCTGTTTCAGTGAAGGGCAAGCGAAGAACACATACGGAACGGGTTGCTTCCTGCTTTGTAATGTCGGCCGGAAACTGATGATGTCGAACCATGGTCTATTGACAACCGTCGCCTATCAGCTTGGTGCCGATGCGCCTCCCATTTACGCCCTAGAAGGCTCCGTGGCGGTGGGCGGGGGATTAGTGAGATGGTTACGTGACAATATCGGCATCATCCAGAAGGACGCTGACATTGAACTACTCGCATCGACCGTATCTGACGCGGGTGGATGTTACATTGTGCCAGCTTTTTCCGGGTTGTTCGCACCTTACTGGCGCTCTGATGCTCGTGGGTGTGTACATATTTTTTAAAACTATTTTAATTGCCGAAATGCCAGTTCGAGTCTCGTTTCGTCAAGTGAGCTGTGAGAAGTCTCCGGAAAATCGTTGAAAATTAAGATCTGTTTGCCAATAGACCTGAATCGAGCCGTGGTGTAAGGCTCGACTGAGGCTTAAGAGGGAAATTCAAATACTCGAAACTCGCCTTCTCACTTATTCATTGATCTGTGACGAAGTGCAAATTTTTGTATTACACCACTAAGCGTTGCGAATTTTTTCCGAATAATACTTCAATCCGGTTTCACCAGCGGTAATTTTTGTCAGAACCATGTCTCTCAGAACATTCGCACCCAGCAGATATGAAACACATTTTTAAAGGGTGCAGTATAATGATCATTTAATGAAGTAATTGTCCAGGCAGCATCGAGAGTTCTGGGAGTCTTGGTTCTTCAAAATATAAAGGGAACTTTCGTCGCTCTTGACATAAATATCCAATAATCCGGTCTTTTAGCGTCTTCGTTGCAGTACTGATCGCGATATTTTCCTCTATAGCACAATATGCGGGCTCAGTCGATTCACGACCAAATCACACATCGCGCGTGCAGCATTAGAAGCCATATGTTACCAAACCAAGGACCTGTTGGAGAGCATCATATTGGACACGAGTCGTTCCGTGGTCCTCACTTCTTTGAAAGTGGATGGTGGAATGACGGCGAACAATCTTCTGATGCAATTGCAAGCTGATCTGTTGGGGATTCCCGTTGGTACGGTTATGAGCTTTCGTCTTGGCATTTCTCAAAATGTATTTATTATTTCCATGTACAAGTGTAATTTTTCTCACGTGCAGTTCGTCCATCGATGGCGGAATCAACTTCACTTGGGGCAGCAATGGTGGCGGGAGCAGCGAAAGGGATCGACGTTTGGGAAATTCACGCGGAACCGATCAACTCCGGAACGCCGGAAGCAGTGGATACATTTATGCCCTCAATTACCGAAAACGGTGAGTTCAACAAAGTCCTTTCCATTTTGAATAGGATCCAGCTAAACATGCCGCTGCATACGGAATCCGATCCTCGAGAAGTGACTCGTTTCGAAAGCAGAGCACCCCTTTTGTTTTGCTATCAACCACTGCGGTGCACTCTTGAGAGCACAGCTCACCCTTGTGAGCATTTCTTCCCGGAGGTGGCTTAGAATTGAGTGTGAGGGTTGAATCGGGGTTTCGATTATAGCACCAGCCATAGCTACCCATGAGCCCATCTCGGAGGCATGAATTCGGCACGCATCTTGGAGCCTGTCGAAGAAAAATCGTGACATGGTATAAGTATAGTAGATACTGCTATTTCAATGAGCCTCTCCTATGAATGGGAATCATTTATTCCTGTTGCGTTCAAGTTTTATGTTTTGGAATGGTACTATTGCACCTGAACTTGGGTTTTCTGCATGCATTAGATTCCTTGTTGGAGAAATGTTCAAGCATGCACACATTAGGCTGGAAATTAGGGGATGAATATATCAGCTGAAACTTTAGCCCTAAGCCATATTTTGTGAATGTCCTTCAATGCCACTTAGTAATGGATGAACTCCCTGAAATATCATTGTTGAGATAATATGGTAGTAAAGAAGCTCAGTGGGGATTATAAAATTGCTTCGTAAATGTGAGGATATCTGTGTAAATTAAATGAAACGAGCCGGTGTTTCACTCCAAACGTACACCAGATCACTGGAATGAAAAGAATTTAAATACAACGATGAAAGATATGAAATACAGTCTATGAAGACTGACAGTACTTAACGCCCGTATTTTTTCCACCGATAGAGTAATAAATTTGTTGGATAATTGTCCTTCGCAAATTGACTATTACTTTATTCCTCCGTTTTTAGCATACTTTTTATGCATGGATATTCGTCTGTCTATGTTTCCATACCTAGTAATAATTTTCTTCACTCATTTGTATCCAAAGACATGTTCCTGGCTGAAGTTAGTCCATAATCTGTTTAGAATTTTCACGCGCACCACATGTATTTTATTCACCATGCACAAAAAAAGCAGCCAGATTCAATGTGGCAGCTGGAATTAAAAATCTGGTCATGCAGGAATCCAATAAAATGAAGACATTGAACAAGCGTGTTGACTGGATTGTATGAAAAGTTAATAAAATAATGCTCATGGACCTCTACTTGAGATTAACGACGAATCCGAATCATTAAAAGTCAAGATCAGTTTTGAATGTTATTTTCTTGAGAATAATACGAAGTACATCTATTGTACGATCATGGAAAAGTATGAAATTGTGTGCGGCAATAAGCTGGAGTGCCTTGCATTTTTTGCCTGCAAATTCGAAGTCGTTTTGGAAGCCCTTTTTGTTCGTGAAGTGATTTAATGCGTGAATTAGGCAAAATTCATGATATAATTTTATACGTGCCAAGATTCAGTGTGACAGTGATTCCCCAAGCACCGGTTCACTTGAATGACACAATGGCCTTCAAAGTTTCCAGAATAAGAAGTGGGTTTCTTTCTTTCTTACTTGAGGTCGGCACATTTCACTTGCTTTTGTAGTACTGTGCTGTACTTCCAACGACGAAAAAAATGCATTACAGAGAGATATTCGTACAAATTTGTAGTCCCGTTCATTCTGAAAGGACAGCAAAATCATTCTATAGTGAATTTCGTTGAAGAGGAAATCATTGTAGAGAGATTAGCAGCAGTTGTTTAGTCTAGAATCTAGGTCTTGAAGTAATGAAAAGGCCCATCTGCAGACCAGCAGTAAAGGTAGTAAAGAAGAAAACGGTCTATTAGCCATCGTGAGGCTCAAATTACTTCGAACCCGAAGTGGTTGTTCAGAATCTGGTAGCTAGAATACAGGGAATGAACATCCTTATAGCTTCGAGAAATTTCACTAAAAAGCTAGCAACTGACTGATAATTTTGAAGATAATAGCAATACTTTCTCCCCCTGGAAAAGTGTGAAGTAATGCTTCGAAACCGGTTGAAGATTGGTTCCTGGCTTTAATTTTTTCAAGCGTATAGATGAAAATTATTTCTGTCGAATTTTAAATTTGGAAATACATTACTGTATTCAGATGTGGCAACTTTTTGTTCGATGATGCGAAGTTGCCCAAAAATGTCAAGTTGACGAGTACGTGATCCGCTTTTCCTTAGTTATTGATTCAAACCGCATCGTTGACAATAATATGATGGTCATTTTTATGTGTGTTCAATCAGACACATTTACTTATACAGTACTGTACTTGCATTCGGGGGACATATTTCGGAATGAGGAAAGATTTTGAAATGTATTCTAATTACTGCCTGCTAATTCAGAAGGTGTAACTGAATGATGTTAGTGGTAAAAACGGGGTTTAAAATCTCGCGTAAGTTTTGTTGAACTCTTATAGCTTTTTATACCTACCCCATTGAAGGAATTGACTTCATAAGGATTTTTGCTGATGTGCAATCTCAATTGTGTTGAGGTGCACTGCTTGAGAGCTGTATTTTAATTATCTTTAAATATAATTGTCAGTCAAAATTACTCGCCTGCTTAATCGAGCATACGATGCGCTAATGATTCAAATTTGACTTGTTAAAATCAAGATGTACAGTATCTTGAATTTTAAATCATCTTAGATTTTAATACAGTATACATGTAGGCATTGTTTATTACCCAATGCGAACTTTTGAAGAAAAAATTAGCCGGAAGAGAAAGCAAGAAAAATCTCACCTTCATTTGTTTCTCATTTTTCAATTAAAGTGAGTAATGCATTTTCTTTCATCTCCAATAGGATTATAAGTAAAGCTCAAATATTGCAACACTGAGACCTGTCGGAAAGGATTGATACAGTATTTCCTAATCTGAACATTTCATCAACTATGAAAAGCTCCATTTTGGAATCCTTGAGAGCACAGAATCGGAGACCTGTATGCTACTGATGGAACCTCAGATGCAATATTAAAAAAATATTGTTATTGAAAAAATTTGATGAAAGCGCGTCTTACGTTTGCATTAAACATTCTTCTGGGTTTGAGGGAACCAGGAAGTTGCGTCTTGAAGTCCGCATCGCGATAAATTTGCGTTAATACGGCGTATTTTTGAATCATAATACTGTATCTTGAATAGCAGCGCTGCTGTATGTACCTGTGATTCGTCGCTTAGTAGCAGCATCATAGCCTCGGGGCAAGGTCCACGTGTGTAGGCTGCGTAGCAACGATCGTTCGCCGGCCAGTATATGTAGTCCTCGAAGCAGTCGCATTCTGCATTACCTTTTCGCGGATCAACGTAAATTGTCTGCCCCGGTTTGCAGAATAACTTCGAAGATCGGTGATCCACGCCGACGCATGTTGCGTTGCTGGCAAAATAAGCTTGGCCCCAGGGACACCGTCGTTCCTCGCATCGTCCATCAGATAATCTCCAACCGCAATCGCATTGATTCAGGTGATCAATGGTTTCCTTGTCGAACTGTTGAAGACCTATGCTTTAGTGAACTTCGTGCTCTTCCGAGTAGAAAACTGCTTGAAGTTATTAACCCCGTCAATTGAAATGCGAAAAGAAGTTTATTTTTCAAACACTGTTCTATTTAGTTGTTCCTGGTTATTCAAGCTTTTTCTGTTGAAATTAAACGTTTCATAAGCCTTACTCTTTGGTCTTTAGGATATTCATACTGAGCAGCACATCTGTCCGCTGCTTGATTTCCTGCGTACAGATCCAATAATCATTGGCCACTTCGGGAATTTCACGATGCTGCTTTATGTCCCTTGCATTGAAATCGACATTGGAGGTCTGATCATCTGCACGTTTAACTACCCTTTGTTCAATTTGGTGAAGTGGACCAAAAGGTATTATTGGATTACCTGATCCCACACGTTAATGAAGCCCTCGCAGTCGCAACCAAGCATCGTCTTCTTCTTCGCCGTAGATTCAAAGCCTTTTGTGTTAACATCGTTGGTCTTGAGTTGCCGCGAGCAAGGCATGAACAAACCGGGGTCACGTTGCACCGAATCGACACAGGTATGCATTTCCGACGACTCGGGTAACGAAAAACTTCTCACATCGAAACTTGCAAGAATCCAACAGAAAATATATCCGAATGCCCTCATTTTGATGGCTTGTATTTCACTGAGCACAGGCCTCGACTGACGCCTGCGGTTTTATCCGTTCACGAATATAAGCTGGGCGATGTCGCTGTCTGTCCATGTCGGGGGGATGCGTTCCCGTGCAGTGGTCTTTTTTTTTTTTTGTACCGTCACGATGCTGTAGAAAGGGGGCATCCCTGAAGTAATGGTCTATTCCGTCAATGCAAAACGGGTTAATTTGTTTCCACTCGAAAGCACCGCAGTACGTGAGTCGTTCTGTTTTTTTTTCGAAACTTTTTGAGTTTCCTTGCCTCTGCCAAGTAGGATGATTGGAGTCTGATGAGTCGTAAGAGAAGTTGCTGATGGGAAATCGAAGCGACTCCAGATATTATCCTTGTTTTCTCTAAAAAAATTTTAAACGTTTTTAGTTGCCGAGTACAGTACTCGTGTTTTTTTTTTTTTTATTCGTGTGTCGTGAGTGACCCGCCACGGGATTTTAAGTGAACCCTTCCAAGGCGTCCCAAGATTGGATTGTCCTCGGTAATGATCGGCGACTACTTCCGCATTGTCGTTTTATTGCCCTTACCGGGTAGACGAGGACGACGCGTCTGCCCGTCGCGGACTCCGCGTTGGCTGACAAACGGTTACTGGGTTGGGGACTTGACACGCCGGGATTGTCTCGGGGGATTTTCTTAGAATAGAATAGATGATGGCCCTGATATGAATGCGAGTTGTATCATGACGGAAACTTTTACTACGAGCGCAGTGTCCAGTGCTGCACCTTGTCGGTGGCTGCATGACCCGGAGCAATTATTTGTCCTGCTGTGCGTGAACGCGTCTGTTCCTGGACTCCGCGAAACGCTCCGTAATCGCGGTCGATGTGTGTTGATTCCCGGCATTTCAGAGCCCATGAGAACTCCTCTATTCTCTCGATGATTACTTTTTTCATGTGTCCCGTCGTTTTTATTACGCATGTTCTCGTTTGTTCCCGGTGCTGCACGTCAGTTCCAAAGTTTACCTTTCATTAATAGGGAGGGGTAGGAGCGCTCGACTGAAATAAACGTACTCTTTTCAGCGCAATTTTCGAAGCCTTGAGCGCGTTGGTCTTGATCCTGCGACTGAATAAGTATTCCAAGTCTTTGGGACGTACGAATTCAGTACTTTACAGTACAGTATTTGGTTATCAGTTTAATAGTGAGGCTGTGGTTTCTGTAAGTACCAGCGCTCCCGGAGGATAAGTCCCCGACGAAAAGGGAACCGGGAGAAGAGGTCCCGCGGACGGGGTAGGAAAGGGACCCTCGATAAAAAAAATTCCCAAGAAAGAAGTGGGGCCAACAGGTGAGGGAGTGATGGTCAGTTGGCAGTATTGGCACACAGATTTAGATACACGTGGACCGGACAAGCCTCACATGTTTAGAAATATTGGTCAGGAATACAGTACAGTATTGCATTCCCTGGAAATATTGGTTAGAATACTGTTGCTGCTACGGTGCTGCTTTTAAAAATGCTGAAATTTACATCGATGATCTTAATAAAAAGAAAAACTCACCAGTCCACAAGGTGTTTTTGCCTGCTGTGAGTACAGTATAAGCTGTTGAAACGCATGCAAAATAAAACTGACCATTACTACCTCTCCCGTTGACCCGCGTACCGTCTGGGGACTTTTTGCCCCGGGTCCTTTTGCTATTTTGTCCCCAGTCGGGTCCCTTTTCGTTTGGGACCTATTCTTGCGGAGCCATGCGCCAGACATCCTTGAAGTAGTGAGAGAGGTTTATGGACGTCGGATCGAGTCCAGTCTCTTGAGTCCTGATTTATTTAACCATCGCTGACAGTGCAGCACTTCCGCGAAAATTATATCCCTGCGGTGTTTAATGTATGAACGGTGATGTGATCGACTTGTAGTGCTGTCGCGGTTTGAGACCGAGAGAAAATCGTCGCGACGAACTAGCGACCCTCTCTTGGCTGCGCGATGAACAAATGATATGCTTGGCCTTGCGCTACCGATTGCACAGAAGAAGAAAAAGAGAAGAAGATGGAACACGGTAAGATGGATGATGAAGTGGCGACGAATGTTTGGAGGACGAAGAGCGGGGACAGAGATTCCGTGCTCCGTATTTAAATGATTCAACAGTTGTAACTTCGCGTTTGAAGTGGTCGAATTCTAGTTATTTTGGTCGATGCATGCTCATTTTCGATTATTTCCTCATTATATTGCCCTAACTGCTCGCTTCATGTCACTTCATTGTTTGTTAATCTTTCTGTAGATCGAAGATCATCGAGGCTTTTTTACAAGAAGGTGATGATTTTTTTTAGAAACTCACTGAAGGAATTTTTGCATGTTTAATTTCCCTGAGAGTAATCGATAAAAATTATCCGTTTTTTTTTCTGCTGACGCATTGAATAGGCAGAAAATCCCTTTTTTCCGCCATCGGAATCATATTTTTTTCGATCGTGACAAAGAATATTCGGAAGATACTGTAGTTTTAAATTTTCAGATCGGGAAATATATTTCTGAAAGATGGAAATGTTTTGCTCGACTGGCTGCTTTCGAATCGGGAAGATCCTCAAAAGTTGAAAAACATTCGTATCTTTTGTTCTTGAATTTGGAGTCGTCAACTGGTCGAGTATTCTATTCGAGTCATGAGAATCAATCGAAGCTCACATTTGATGGAATTTATGCCAATTTTATGCATTTTTGCAGAACGTGAGCTGCGTTACGAGAAGTGGAAGATGGCTGTCGAACGGTCGCTGGGTTGGGAATCCCCGAAACTGAGGAAAAAGATAATGCCAGGTATTGATGCTGATCCTGCCTTGCGCGTTGCGTGCTGAAAAGTGAAAAAAAGAAACACTGGTCTTGTTTTTCTGTCCGTATATCCATCGGTTCATCTGTGCATGCGGATTATTTTCCCCCTTACGGTGCTGTTTCGGGTTTTGATTTGTTGCCGCAGTCGGTTGGGACAGGAAGCCGAAGACCAATGCGTAGTCATTCTTGAGTGCAATTGGAACATCGTGGCTGGTTATGGTGTTGTGCATCCTCAGTTATCCCGGTTTTGTTCGACGTTAGTCGTTCGTTTCGGTTGCTTAGGAAATTATGTAGGTGCAATATTGTGTTGATTCTCACCGTGTTCATGATTTGTAGAACATTTGCTTAACCTGCTTTGGCTGCTGGGAGTCTTTCCGATGCGAGTCGCTTGTCGATAGATAAGTTTCGTGCTCTTCAGATTCCAGGTATAACCTCTTGGCTTCGATTCCGGGAACCATGTTTCTCATGACGACGGTCGGGCTTCTGATCCTTGGGGAAAAGACCAAGAATATGCAGAACTGATTTTCTCTTTCTGCAACTTTATCGTTCCTTGAGTGCAATACATGGATCGTTATTTCTGTGGTGCTTGAAAGAAAATTGAGGTTACATGGAGCATTTTCATGGAATAAATTTTGCTCTGTGTGGGCTTCCATGATTTCACTCATTATTCCGGCGATGAGGAAAGTGATTGGTTTTTGATGTGGTTCTGGGCGATAGACAGAATATACACTGGTACTTTTCGTGTGTGTTGCAATATTTTTTAAGGGAATCTCTTTACTTCAGATTTCGAGGATTAGACTGACGTTATCAGCGATGAAGTTGACAAACCTATACAGAGATGCTTGTCGATTGAAAAGTGGCAATGTTGCCGAGTGAGAAGCAGCTGGATATTCTCCGGCGGCACCATTTGGAACCACCGCCGTTTTTGTCCCAGGAAACTACGAAAGCAGGAAAAAAGAGAAGAGCACCGATCTTCACTGTACAAGTTTACATCAATGTCACGGTTTGCCACATCATCGTGCTCTCCGTTTTCTGAATCCGCTCAGTCCTCGCGAATGATCGGAGAAATTCTGAATGGATTACTGTATGAAATTGCCTTCTGGATGCAAGAACGTGCGGGCTCGCTTGAACCGTACACGGTGAACTGAAACATTTTTTGGCAACGAGAATATTGGAGACTTGTCACCAAGGTCCCGCAAACGCATCGATGCTGTAAGGAGTTTGGTAACATCCCGAAATCATTGTGCGGACAAATGTTGTGTCAATTCCAGCACTTGTAAGTGGCCCATTTAAAGTTGCGAATGATAAAAAATTTGAGGGTTTTATTTTTTTCTGAAAATTCAGAATAGTTCATACAAGGTGAAAGAATCGAAGGCCTGTGTGGGATCATTTCCAACCTTATCTTGTGATTGTTCAATCACACATCTTAATTGTCCATCATCATCATCATTGATAGTAGCTGATCAACCAATTCTATCACTAATAGAATCAACAGATTAGTCCCATACTTTTACCCAGAATTTCAAAGTTATATCTTTGTTGCCTTGTTTCATGGAAATTTAATTCTTACTGGTGATAAAGCCCAACATGTGATGCATTGAAAAGTTTTTGTACCTGATCAGACGGAAACTTCTGTGAATAAAAAAAAATTCTGCGAATAAAAATCATGGAGGATTTTAAAAGTCGCGATTTATCTGTATAACTTCATCCTTTCAGTTCCTGAGGTGCATATTACAGTTCAAATGAATTTTCCTCGCCACAACGTTTCATTTTTTCCCGAGGAGAGTTTGTTTCTGAATGAAGCAGTCACAATACGACAGATACGAACATGAATGCAACACAAATATGAAATATGTTCATGAACTCTTCATTTGAAATCACGTCCATGCGTTTATCGATTACATTTGTTCAAATGAATTCTGCAGAACAATTCCAAAGGAAAACAGGGGTGTACGTGTATTGAGCAACGACGAGTTTTCCCAATTACATTTTCAAAATCAAGGTGCACATCTTACTCGAGGGTGCATGGTGGTCTAAAGCAGTGTTCCACAACTGTTCCGGGACATTTTTTCTCAGACCAGAACATTTCCATGAAAACTTCTGCGAACTGGCGAAGTTCCGTGAAATTTTGGCGACCAGCCGAAATTTTTGAAATACCTCCAATAAAGTCCTCTAACCAAAATTTGCATTGCAAAAATTGAGTTAAGAACGTATGAAGCAGAAATAGTGGAATGTCTTTAAAATTTTAAAGAAAGGTATTTCAGAATGAATAGGTAAAATAATTTATTTCAGCAGGTGAAACTGTCTCAGAAATTGTATTAGAACAAAAACATTTTTGTGTTTCGGCAGGTAATTTCAACCGCCATTAATTGCCTCTCCAGAATTTCAGATAAAAGATTTATGACTTCATAAGTACCTTTATAATTGTATTATGCTGAAGAAAATTTCTCTCTGACCAACAAAGAACTTCTGCAGACTGATGGCACCAGTCGAAGGACCACGAGTTGCAGATCACTGCTCTGTATAGTGATCATGGTCATAATTCAACAGCAATACAGTAGATAAAATTTCATAATTTTTTTGCCAGAAAGCCAAATCACCAAAAACCCGAAAGATAGAATCATTGATCACTTGGATTTTCCTCTTGGTCGCCAAAACAAAAAGCTAAACGAAAAGCATAATTTGACGCAAGCCTGCATTTTTTCTCAGAACACCGGTGAAGTTGTAGCATTGCTGATTATCACAAATTTTTTTTTTTCGCAGGTGTAACTGATACTAAGCAATGTTCTGCTACCAGACTCCCTCATCAAGTATTGATAACCCGGTATACAATATTTTTCTGGCTACGATGATTACAGCAATTAAAAGCGTATTTCGGAAGATAATTGAAGTACAGAACTGTATTACGAAATAAAGCTTAAAATGTTCAGAAAATACGACCATTTCGAAATTTATTTCTTTTGGCTCATTCCGTGCAGTGCATAACTACATTTCGTTTCCGGAATGAAATTACCTGAATTTTATTGCATCTAACATGTTGCCTCATCGTAGATTCTTCACAGTTACACAATGGTTTGTGAAAGTTCGGTGCTGTGAAATTTCTGCGTGAGTCGTCATCAGTTTTCGGCCGCATTAACTGTTTTCGACTGTGGACCAAGCACAGTATAAAGTTTTCCCCCTATATAATCAGCGCAACATTCCAACCCATTTTCCGTTTGAAATTGGCATTCAAGCGGTGCCCCGCAATATCATTGCTGAAGAAGAATATAAATGTAGTGGATGCCTTCCACTGGCGCAGCCCTATGTGAAGGGGGTCGCAATAACTCGGCGCGGAAATCTGCCGAATTGCAAGCTGCTGCCGCAGAGTTCATTTTTCGTGCGGTGTTATTGTTGCGTGTATTATTTTTTGCGCCTGCGGGCAGAGTACGTCGGACCTAGGGGACGATGACGCGGCAGGTCGAGTGTCTTCGTTTTCAACTGGCCCCTTCACCTGCTCGTCTTCGGGGATGAAACCGTGTAATTAAATGTTATCTGGGCGGGGACAGAGCCGCGATGAAGGTCCCATTACCGGCTCCCCAGGCCGAAGTCCTCGCTCCCCGTCGAGTTTTTCCCCCGTACTTCGTAATTTACTGGAGCCCATTCGGTGCGTCCCGCTGGGAATAATGACCACGTACCCGATTGTTGTTTTCAGAAGGCTAGTTTCCCTGCGTTCCTTGTTTCCCGGGACATGGGCGAAGCAACCGGATCGAGAGCATCCACTAGCACCCATTGGAGTACCACCTACTTTTTCGCGATCCGATTCACGCCCATGTTTTTTTGCGAACGGCGCAGAAATCGCCGAAAGCTTTATAGCTTGGAGAAAGGCGGCCAAACGCATCAGGTATACCCCGAAGTATCTCTGCTCGAATGCAATAGAGTCCGTCGATTATAAAAGCACCCAGACTTTTTAATTTCTCCGCATTGAAGCCAATTTTCTTGCGCGAATCAAATGCATACTATTTCCTAGTTTTTCATCTGATCGGAAAATGAGTCCTTTGATTTGTATAGCTCATCCGAACCGCCTATGCTACTGATTTAGGAACTTCCACATCTGCGCCCTGTTCTTGGTCATCCCCCTGGGTGCAAATATTGGACGGTATTTTTTTGCGGGTTGAAGGAAGGTAGAAAAGCAGCAGTACTTTGTGATTCCGAATTATAGCATTGATTTATTTCCTGGTGTGAGAAAAACAAGATGTTTTCATTGTAAAGGGACTGAATATTGTGATACGGCTTTTTTTTCGTTACGTATGATATGAAACTTGATTTGTATTCAACAGTTTGTGTTAGGTGGAAGAGATCGGAAAAATAAGGCGCAATCAAATTCGAGGCATGATTAAGTATATGACACACACTGAATTCTCAAAGACAATTTTTTTTATAGAAAATAAACCCACATTTAATTCGAACGACAATGCAATATATATTATACAATCATGTAAATAATGTTCGATGTTGTCAATCGAATGTCAGGTTTTGATAAAGATAAAAAATTCAAGCATCATCGAAGACTTGGCAATGAATCTGTGAATATTCAAGTTTATTTCTTAGCCGTCATCCTATGTAAGGCTCACAAAAATAAAATTATCCATAATATATCTTCAAAAGAATGTCAGGGAACAAGCCTGACCGAGCACCAGCCACCATAGTTTGTACCTTTCAAATAACACTGGCACAGCAGGAGGAATTTTTTTCAACCATGATTTGTCTGTCCTGAATTAACTAAAAAAATTCATTCCTGTGTTAAATTTTGAACTGAATCAAAATACACCTGAAAGCTATATCTCCGGAATTCTGTGTTATTCAGGAAAGAATCATGGGCTTTCGAATAGGACTGCTCATCATACTTTTGAGTTTCACAGACAGGTAACCAGTCTATGAGCATGGAAAAGATACCTGCAGGCCATCACATATCTGTAGTGGGTCTTCTGTGCATGCAACTTGCCTTTCAGACAAGTTGCAGCATGGAGAAGAAGCTATTTTGGTGCTTGGTGCAGTGTAGGAGGCGCCACAGCATGCTTGGTACCAGTTTTTGTCACTGCGCACCAAAGCAAGGAAATTTGCTCTAGTGTCCCTCTGCACAGCTGTCGCCATCTTGTGGTCGCAACAGAACTCATGGAGTTAACATCACGTCACGATTTTCACAAAGAGAAGCTAAGTTCCGTAAAATCAATGAATTCGTCATAAATTCAGTCTTTATATATACTGTACTGCATATATATATATATATAAATATATTCTTTTTTCACCTTAGAAATCATTGACACACTGGGGGGATGGTTCATGCTTTCTGTCAGTATGAATATGTATGTGAAGGAAATTCTGCTGAGACAAAATTGTACCTACGCTGTTAGGAGTATATCTCGTGGAATTAAAATTTGGGAATTGAAGACAGCCAATAACAAAGCACAGTACAGTACTGCCAAATGAAACTTCTGAACCATCCCTATAGCAGTTTATATCCTCAAGTTATTTTAAAACCAATACTGTACAGAAATAATTGCATGGTTTACCTTCACAAGGAAAAAACTCAGGTACTTGAATATAAAGGAAAAACCGTTAAATCACAGAAGTACAATATTTTGTTGAACGGATCCTGGCTTTGATGCGGCCTCCACACTGATTGCAACTTCAAATATAAATTCCGTCATTTATATTGGTCATCAAATTTTTCTTGCATTATTGATTTTTAACGTGCGCTGTTGACGGAATGGCCGACAGAAAATTGGCCATGAATCCCTTCAAGTGAACGAAAACACCATCGCTTGCCATTTCGAATGCTTTTTTTTTTTTTTTGCTCACGTACACTTCGACATAAAGCATAGAACGAAAAATGCTCACTTTTTTCCAAAACAATTAGAGGTTTGTTGCGCGTTCAACTCTTGAATGTGGCCTTCACTCCTGAAATACATCCGAGGATTTTAATGCAGTATTAAAAATTACAATTTACCATCCAGAACTTACCTAGAATTTTCTCCTGTGGAAATAGATAATGTATCCAGCAATGAAGATACAACTTTGAAAGAAAAGGATATTTGAAATGCTTCCTGGAAAATAATTCCGAAATACAACGGGGTCTTGGTCTACAAAATTAATTCATTCCTGAGCAAAGTTCCTTAACCAAATAGTTTGTTAACCAAATCATATTTTCCCTTAAGAAAGTACAGGAATAATTTTAATCGGTTCCAGAACCTTGAAAGTGTCCACAAAAATCAATAAAATTTTTACCCGAAATTTTCACTGAGCCTAAAATCCAAGAAATTATTTATAAAAAATTAGAAGAGAAGCTCAAAGAAGTGCTAATGAAGACAGGAGCCTAAGAAAAATGTCAGAGAGGTTGAAAAAATCATTCAATAAATTTATTTGGGCTTCTAAGTTGATCCTTCAACAATTCATTCACTCTGCACTTTTGAGCAACCTGTGTGTGTAAAATATACGAAGAACACAAAGGAAAGGTGTACAAAGCTATTTATATTTTTTGTTTTTATTTATTTTTTTACGTGAAAAACAAATGAAAAGCGCACCTAATTTGGAACACTGTCTGGGAACAAAATCAGATTGAGACAACAGTCGAGAAGGAAATTTGCAAAAATATACACACATGTTTAAATAGGTAAAATCATGCAGGAATCATATTATTTTTGTTAATCCTGTAGAAGAGCAAGAAATAGCCACTGGGAGATATATGGTGCCAGTTACAGACCCAAGGGGTGGGCATGTTGGGAGGCCTGCCATTTGAACCCGATAAGTTTTTAAACCAAGTCATGGTTCATTATCCAAGGAAGCTGATGCCGAAATGCAAAGTTTATTCTCCAAATGGTTTATTGACCAGTGCATTTGTTAACCAAGACCCCACTGTACTGTAAAATGATGAGTTTTCCTTGGCGCCCACTTGGTCTTGACAGTTCGCGGGCATGGCATCCAGGTTGGTAGCGGCAGCAATTTTGTGGCGGCGAGTTGTATTGTTTCCCTATTATATGCTCTAATTGGGCCTGTTTTGGATGTATAAGACAGACCAATCCTCGTGCAAAGGGTTTTTAGGAATTTTCTTCAAGTTAAAGACATATTATTCCTTGTTTTATGAGGGTCTTTCTGTAGTCTCATAAAATGCGAAAACATTACCGCACTAGATTCTGCTATTCGTTATTTTCTTTCAGTTCATGCTAAAATTCAAAAGGGTTATCTGCTAAGCCCTTTGGGAACTCAAAGCAAATAGCACCTGTCCTCGTTTAAGACTTGCACCTAGATTTTTTGGCGCAAAATTTGCTCAAAACCCTATCTCTGCATAAGACCTGCCCCCCAGTTTTCTTGGCTGAAAATCGGAACCAATATTAATTACAGCATATTTACCAAATAATAATTTTTAGCAAAAGAATCTTATGATTAATAAATGAAAGAACATAAAACATGATTGGTGCTAAATAGAATTTACCGGCCAATTGTTTCACCTAGGACTAACTTTTGACTTTCACCACCATTGTTTCATGATTTTTGTCATTAAAAAATTATACCCACATATACCACGCACAAAATAAAACTTAATCCCCTACTTTCCTGGACAAGATGCAGATTGCAGGTGGCTGAATATTTGTCTTCAGAACAAATGGTGGTGTAAAGTGAAAGATGTTGCTATAGGTCAAGGTAGGCTTTTGAATAAATGATGGAAATACTGCACAGTACTGTACTAGGAAAAGGTCGAATTTCTTTGGCAAAACTAAATCCATTAGAAAGAAGAAGCGTGTAGTCATGGATTCTGACTCAGGTGAATTGAAGGACACATGAGATAAGCTCGCAGTATTGCCCAACCTTTTCAGGATCACCAATAACTGGCAAATTCCTCAAAAATGTTCTGCAGACCAGCGAAGTTTCATAATTTTTTTGCAGACTCAAAAAAGTTTTGCTTGAAATACTTTGTTATTTCAAATTTTTCTGCTTTTTTGTAAAAAAAAAAAATAAAAACCAATGAAGTGGCTATACGGGGAAATGTCTTCCAAAATTATAAAGAAGGGCTTGAACAAAGGGTTCCCAGAATGAAAAAATTAAAATAAATTATTTCAGCATGGAAGAATTTGTCCGAAGTGTTAGTTGAGAGAAAAGTCAACTTTTATTTTGTCATCAGATAATCTCAGCTCTGCGAGTGTCTTTGAAGAATTTTGGATAAAGATAACACTTCATTGGCACTTTTGATAAATCCATCATGTCGCAAAAAATTTCCTGCGGACCGGCGCCGGTCTGCGGACCACGGGTTGGGGAATACCGAGATAAATAACTAATAACCAGCACATTGCTTAATGTAAAGTTTATTTCGTGCGGACGTTGGTAAGAACTAACATGTCGGTAATCTGAGATGAAGACATCAGAAAAAAACTCGGTCCCGAGGATGAGGTGTCATGTGTTATTGTCCTGAAAATAAACCAGAAAGAGGTTAAGGAGCCATGATATGTAGAGTACTGGGTTAAATGCCGCGAATCTTCATCTCTATAATATCGTAACTTAATGTTCCGTACAACAAGTCACCGGAATGATCCCGCAGCCCGAAAAATAAAAATTAATTCCAGAACCAGGTTAGAATAATTTCGGAACCAGGCGAGTACGCCCATTAACCCGCCCGAGCCTATTGTTCGCATCGCCGATATAAACAAGCGCCAGATGCGGCAACGGGAGTGCGGTAGAGCATTCACGAGCCATAAAACAGCATTTCATGAAGAATGCGCGCAGCTTTTAATTACAGCT